ATAAATAAAAATTAGCCAAGGGCCTGGTGAGATGGCTCAGTGGTCTAAAGCACCTACTTAGAACAAGCTTAGCAAAACACAGGGACTGTGGTTCATACCCCAGCATCACATGCCAGTCAGCCCCTTCCCCTGGTGGGCTGAGCTGCCCCCCCACATAAATACATAAAAATTGAAAAAAATAAAATAAAATTACTATGGGTTACAAAACTGTAGGATTGCTGTGAGTTCAAGGCAAGCCTACATTACACAGCAAAACCTGTCTCAAAAAGACAAACGAATAAAATTAAAAATAATAAAAACTAGACTTCCACATATATCCCTTTGTTCTTAATTTCAGGAAAAAAAATAGCTTGAAACCAAAAATATACATAATAAAAGAAAGGACCAGGTGTGGTGGCTTACTCTTGTAAGTCTTGCACTGGGGAGGCTGCTATAGAAAGATTACTATAAGTTTAAGGCACTCCAAGGCTACATGTGACTTCTAGGGTGGCCTGAATGTAGAGCAAGACCCTGTCTCAAAAAAAAAAAAAAAAGCAAACAAACCAAAAACATACAAAAAAGAAAAGAGGCTGGGGAGATAGCTCAGCAGTCTAAGTGCCTGCTTGGCAAGTGCAAGGACCCAGGTTCGATCCCTGGTACTGCATTTTGTACTGGCCAATGAAACCAATTGTGGCGGTTCACACTTGAAATCCCAGCGCTGGGAAGGCTGAGACAGGAGGATTACTATGAGTCTCAACTGTGTAGCAAGACCCTGTATCAAATAAATAAAATTTAAAAATACAAAAAAAGTTAAAGAATGTGACTTCCTCTTTCTGGTTCCATAAAACAAGGATGCTAACAACTGAGGCTAAGCAGCTACTATTGCCTAAAAAGTACCTTCAAAACACAAACTATGTTGTACTGAGGAGGGTGGAGCAAAGATAGAAGAAGCAGACTCTCTAACATCATTATAAAGCTTGTATACCAGTAATAGGCTGCCTACTTCTTGACTTCCTTAATGTGGGAGAGAAACAAACATAACATTTTGACATGTTTCTTTGTTGCTGCTTTTCTTTTAGTGTTCATGTGTTACTTCAAAAACCAGATTTATTGAGTTCAATCCCCAGTTCTGAAAAAAAAAAAAAAAAAAAAAAAAAAAAAAAAACAAGACAAAAATCAGATTTAGGGCGCGCACCTGTAATCCCAGCTCTTGGGAGGCTATAAACAGGCAAATCACTAGAAGTGTGATCTAGTGGTGAGACCCTGAACATCCTGTAGACCCTTCCCTAAAATACAAAACAAAAAAAAAAAAAACCAAACAAAAAAACCCAGATTTAGTACACACACAGTTTCTGTTGCAGAATGGACTGTGATATTTGCAGAAGTAATGATAATGAAAAGTAAAAATTTTAATTTGAATAACAAATCAGATAATGATACATACCTATGAGCCAAGCCCTTAGGAGAACAAGGCAAAGGAATCACAAGTTTGAAGCCACTTTATACTATCCAGTTCAGCCTGGACTGCACAATAAAATCTGATTTTAAAAAACCAAAGGCTTAAAAAGCAGAATGGCCAGCATGGTCATTATAACACTAGTTTGTTACTTGGGAGACTGAGAGGAGAAGGTCACAAGTTCAAAGCCAGTGTGGGCAACTTAATGAGACCATATCTCAGAAAGTAAAATAAAAAGGGCTGGAGAAGTAACTTAATGTTGACTGTTTGCCTAGCTCACACAAAGCCTTGGGTTCAATCCTCAGTACTGCCAAAAAAAAAGGGGGAGTTGGGGAAGACAGGAAGCAGAAAAATTATTTAACTATAGTAATAGTTAAATTCAAAATAGATGCAAAAGAGGTAGGTTACTTGATACACAAAAAAAGTGTGGGAAGCCATTAACTGGTATCCATTTTATAATAGTGTCAGCCGTTTTCTTAAGTTTCTATTCCCCTGCTGAGTTAAGTTTATGGTCCTTCTCACCTTGCCCAGTCCCCGTGAATCACGTGCTATGCCCCAGGGGTTGCACCTTCCCCGTTGCCTAGATACCTGCTGACCCCCCTAAAGCAGACTTCCTCATTCCTACAACAGTTCCGAAATATGCCCATCAGCACAGAGTAACTACTGCAACTATTCCTCATGAACTATCTGGCAAAAATCACTTAGCCCAAGCTTCTCTTCTTGAACATCTAGTTGCCCAAAAGAACACCTCTCCTGTGAAATAGCATTCTATTGTAGCACTTGGAGACACCTCCACGTACACACAAGAAATAGATGTCTAGTCTGAAATAACTTTTTCTGGAATTAAGGGCAGGTTATCTGAAAGTTTAACTTAAGAATGAGGTATAACTGACTGCCTTAACATTCAGGGAAAGTAGGGGAGGGAGTAGAGATACCATAATTCTATCCCATGGTATTAGACTTAACTGACCTGAATTCTTTAACAGGTTTACTTATGCTTAAGTATAATTATGGTTTTATTCTGACAATAAATTTAGTCATTCACTTCATGTCATTTTTTTCCTTGCCAGGGATTTCATTAGAGCTGATATTCAGGGGCCAGGGAATAGAGCACATAAAAGCACATAAGCCCTGGGTTTAATACTCAACATGGGGGGGGGGTGGATTGATGTCCAGTTAGATTTTGGTGGTCTTAGGATTCAATCCAGAGTCTTGTGCATGCTCGGCAAAGGATCTACCACTGAGCTATTTAAACAGAAGATGATTTTTAAAAGTTCTATTTGGACATGGTGATACATGCCAGCACTTGGGAGTCTGAGACAGAAGGGTTACTATGAATCTGAGGCCAGCCAGAACTACTTAGTGAGTTGATATCCAACCTGAATTACAAAGTAAAGCCTTGTCTAAAAAAAAAAAAAAAAGTGAAAAGCAGGTCTAGTGGGAAACGGTGGCACAAACCTACAACCTTACAACTCTGGGAAACTAAAGCATGAAGATCACAAGTTTGATCCCAACCTAGGCTAGTTAGCAACTTAAAAAAGGGTTAGGAAGGTAACTCATTGTGAAGGCCCTGAGAGCAATTTTCACTATCAAGGAAAGTAGTTTGTAGGGGCTCACAATTTAGAACTAAAGTTTTTTTTTAACACTAATGGGGCCAGGGAGATAGCTCAGTTGAATAAGCACTTGCCTGGCAAGCTCAAGGGCCTGAGATCAATCCCCAGTTCCACCAAACAAACAAACAAGCAAACAAACAAACAAACAAACAAAAAAACCTATTAAGCAGGCACTATAAACACACTGGATAAATCTAATTCATCATCTTTTCTTACAGAGAAAATCTAAATAAACACTAGGTGGAATCTACACCAACTTGTCAAAGTAATGCAACTTTAACAAAGTGAAGGTTAAGGTGGATTGACTAGGCAACTTTAACAAAGTGAAGATTAAGGTGGATTGACTAGCAAGGTATGGTAGTGTACATCTATAATGCCAGTTGGATAGTTGGAGGCTGGAAGATCCCTACACATGAGTTCCAAGGCCAGCCTGGGTTTCAGAGCTCATAGCCAGCCTGAACTACATAACAAGACCCTATCTCAAAAAAAAAAAGAATGAAAAAAAGGCAGATTCACTGAATAGTAATTTTGGGGGGCCTGGCCCTAGCTCAGTCCTTTAAGTGGCTGCTTCCACAAAGCTGTCAGCCTCAGGTTGCTGGAGTTCGAACTTCACAACTCTCCCGCTGGCCAAAAGTGCCCTGAAGGCATTCGAGAATCCAAAAAAAAAAAAACCGTTACTGAAATAGTAATTTTCACTTTTCTTGTCAATCTATTTACAACTTTCTGTAGTCCAGGCTGGCCTTGAACTCACATCAATGCTCCTGCCTCAGCTCCCAAGTGCATGTGCCACCATGCCATGTTATATTAATTATTAAAAATAATCTAGGGGCCGGGAAGATGGCTCAGTAGAATAAGCGGTTCCCTGGCAAGTGCAAGGGCCTGAGTTCAATCCCCGGTTCCACACACACACACACACACACACACACACAAAAGTAGAGATAATATGCCCAGAATCCCAACACTCAGGTAGGCTGAATCAGGAAGATCAAAAAAGTTCCAGCCCAGTCTGGGACACTTAGTGATTTTGCAAGACCCTATTACAAGAAGAAAAAAAAAAAAATCTGGGGATGTACATTAGTGTGAAGGTCTCAATCCCCATCCAGTAAGACACACACAAAAGGAATGAAGTACTGACTCATGCTACACATGCATAAAACTTTGAAGTGTTGTATGTGTCTCAGAATGATTTCATTTATATGAAATGTCCAGTTAAGAAGTGGTTGCTTGGGCCAGGGAAATAACTCAGTAGAGTAAGTGCTTGCCTGGCAAGCATAGGGTCTTGAGTTCAATCCCCAGTACCGCAAAAAAAAAAAAAGAGTGGTTGCTTGGTGCCTACCTGGCAACAAGGTCCTGAGTTCCACCCAGGTACAGGAAACAAAAGTGGTTGCTTGGAGGTAGGAAAAAGGGGAGAGCATACAGTAACAGCTAGAGTAAGGAATTTATTTTAGGAATAAGGAAAATCTTCCAAAGTTAGATTGTGGTGATGAATGTACAACTTTCAGTATACCAAACATCACTGATGTACATTTGTGAGTTCATTTTATGGTATGCAAATTGTATTTCAGTAAACCTGTTAAAGAAATACTGTCAGGGTATGTGGTATGGTATGCCTGTAATCTCAGCACCTGGGAGGCTGAGAGGCAGGAGGATCACTGCAGGTTGGAGGCTAGCCTGGGCTACACAATGAGTTCAAGCCCAGTCTAAACTACATAGTGAGACTGTCTCAAAAAAATAAATAAATAAAAAATTTAAAATTATATGAGAGGCAGGAATACAGCTCAACGGCACAAGTGCCTACTTGGCAAGCGCAAGGTCCCGAGTTTGATTCCCAATAACCAAAAAAAAAAAAAAAAAGCAGCACCTCCATATGATTAATATAAGAAATCCCCCAAAGTGAAAAAATACCTAGCAATTTCTAAGATCCATAAATGATGTCGCCCTAGATACCTTACCAATTTTGATCTCCACTTCTCATGACAGAGGAGGCCAAACACAGTTTCTCTCGGATGGACCATGGCTCTGTGGGGCCAGTACTCAGCAGCTTGTGTTCTGAAAAGAGAGTGGTTTTTTTTTTTTTTTTCTTTTTCTTTTTTTTTTTAAACCACTCAATGGTTTTACACCCCAAAGGATCAACTAAGAGCCTAATACAAAAACACAAAATATTTCAGTTACTGGTGTAACAAAATTCCTCCCCTTCCCAGCCAGTATACTTCATTTTCTTAGTTGCCCAGGTAAGTTCCTTTTGCAGTTCGGTTGCTTCTGATCTCCTAGAAACAATCAGTTACTGTGACGCATAGCTAGTCACTATGATGCACACTGTTTAAACTCATGCCTCATTTGACAAATCATTCTGCCCCTCTACTTCCTGCATGCTTATTTCATATAAGCCTTAGACAACCAGAGATCAGGGTTTGATATTCTGGGAATGATCCTGACCAATGTCAATGTATGTAAAATAAATTTGCCTCTATATCCTTCGTTTCACTGTTCCTGCTTGCCATTGCACTAGGACAGAGTGAGCTAGTATTCAGTAAATTTATCTTCACTGGCCGTGGTACCTATTTTTTGCATGTGAATTAACGGTAGAGCTTCAAGCCCTGATTTTTTCAAATTTGGTAAAGTCAGTTTAAAACAAAGAAGTTATCCCCAAAGGCTTTTAGGATACGTTATTCCAATTTCAACGCAAGCGTTATTTCCCAAGATTCCGAGCGGCACACCTCCTGCTACCCCGCCCTCCCCTAGCATAAACTTGTTTACTTCCCTCAGCCCCTCCCCCCAAATATCCGACATGAGACAATTTTGATCCATGAAACACAGAAAAATTATGGAAATGCATTAAACACAATTTCCTCGGTGGCATAAAAAGCTCATGAAAGAAAAAAAGAAAAGCTCATGGATCACTGATTCCATTGTAACTCCCTTACAAACCTTACAAAATGCAGTGACTTAAGGGCCGGCCACGCCATATGGTTCACAACCTATCTTCCACTGAACGCCCCAGTTTCTATAGTGCTTTTACCTCTTACCCTTCCTTCAGAGCTACCAACATACAAAGACTCGCTGAGCTGCTTCTCAAATCCATTCTCCCTCCCTGAAACAAGCGCTTAGACTCACGACGCCGCAGAACGCATGTCTTGGAAGAGCCTACGGCTCTCAGTGTAACCACTCTGTCCTGATGGTGTCGAAACTGTGGTAACTTAGCTTCGGCTCTACAAAGGCCTTCCATTCAAAAATCTGTGCAGATACTCACTGCCCGTTCCTGTCGCCATCTTGGCCCCAAAGTCTTCTACGACAGTCAGTGAGAGATAATCTCGTGGGGCCGAACTACGGGAACTCTGGGAAATAGAGTATAGGCGTTGATTCGCGGTTCATGCTGGGGAATGTAGTTTTTCACTAAAGAGGAACTCGCAATTTAAACTAGTTATCTTCTGGGCTGCTGAAAAGGAGAGCTACAACGAAGAAAAGGAAATGGCAGCTGGAGCCTCAGTAATTCCTTTAGGCTTTCTGGAAATAAGGGTCTAGGTTTCAAGGAAAAGAGGTGGAAAGAATCCTGAGCAAAGCAAGCCAAACTCGCGACATTAGATATTGCAGACACACGTTAAAGGTCAGAGGGCAAACTGAAACTAACGGTCTTCCAGTTTCTCCGCCCCCTTTCCTTACGCTGATTGGTAACTGAAGGGTTCGCTTTCTGATTGGCCGAAGAAACTCAGAGCGTAGTTTAAAACGTGGTATCAGGAACAAAGCTGCACCTCGTGGGCGGAGCTGCGTTTTCTTGCAGTAAAGGTGCTGGCTCTTCCGCGGGGTGTAAGCTGGTACCAGAGAGGCTGCAAGTCTCTCTTGTCTGGGTGTGTGAGGCTGGACTGAACTGAACCCAGGTAACGAACTTTGGCCCGCGCGGAATGAGACTTTCTTCATAGCTGCGTTGTCTTGTGAGCTTTAGGTTGAGGTTGGAAAGAGACCTAGGGATCCTGACACCGACTTCACCACACTGGTAGATGAGGCACCCTACCTGGAGCGTGACTTGTATTTGGACCTGGATTTCTCGAGTCCTTTTTGCCTTCAGAAACCGGCCTCAGACGCTCTTCTCATCCTCCTCTTTGCCCATAATCAGAAGGAACGAAGGGGCAATTTCGACAGGAGCCCGGGTATCCCAGGCCCAGGGCATTGTTTCTTACCTATAACTTACAGCTCATTTTGTCTATTAATGTCTTTCGCTTACCTACTCTTATCTCCTTTTAGAGGTAAGACGCAGCAGCTGTCATGTCTCGAGGGATCCTTTCTCCACCTGCGGGCTTGCTCTCTGATGAGGATGTTGTTGTCTCGCCCATGTTTGAATCCACAGCCGCAGATCTGCGGTCTGGGATGCACAAAGAGCTGCTCTCAGACTCCTCTGACATCTTCACCTCCCTGGAGGACAGGCAACAGGTAAAGGGGCTGGGGAGTGGCTTGAAGTCAGAAAGTGATAGCTCTCTATGCGGGGTACAAAATTCAAGACCAGTAATCCTGGAGATCAGTTAAAAATTAAAGGCATAACATACAGTACAAAATGTAGACTTGTGTACCCATAAGAATATTATTTCCATTAATGAAATAATGAAATTGGGCGTGGTGGCACACGCCTGTAACCATCCCAGCATTTGAGAGGCTGAGGTGAGGCAGCAGGATCATTGTAAGTTCGAAATAAGCCTGAGCAACAAAGTGAGCTCAAGGCCAGCCTGAACTTCTATCTCAAAAAAAAAAAAAAGACAAGAGAAAAAGAATGAAAATTTCATGTGCATACTCAGGTATTCTCTAAGAAAAGGGTAATTGTATCTCTCCGCTATGAAGCTCAGTTATATTAAATAGTTTGTATAAGGCTGAAGGATGTAGCTCAGTGGTAGAACATGTGCTTAACATGTCTGAGACCCTGAGTTTAAACCTCAGCACTATACACAAAAGCAATAATTTGCACAGGATCTTACAAGTATATGTAAAGAGTATTTAGGTTTTAATAATGGGAAGCATAGCTTCCTTTCTGTGAGACAGTATTATTATTTATTTGTGAGTTTCTTGTATTTTAGGGAAGGGTCTACAGGGTGTTCAGGGTCTCACTATTAGATTGGACTCATAGTGATCTGCCTGTTTTACAGCCTCCCAAGAGCTGGGATTACATGCATGTGCCACCACATCCAGCTTCAATTGCCATCTCGTGTGCACCCCAGCAGGTGGGCTGGCAGGCAGGGCAGCCCTGGGGATTGAACCCCCTCCCCTGCCCCCTGCGCCTGCTTGTAGGCGCTTTAATCAGCTGAGCTATTTGGCCTGTCCCCCGCTATTATTGATATTTGGGACCAAATTCTTTGTTGAAGGAACATGTCCTGTGCATTCTAAGATTAGCACAGGCTGGGTGTGGTTGCACATGCCAGTAATCCTAACACCCAGGAAGGCAGGAAGATTGTAAATTTTAGCCCACCCTGGGCAATTTAGTGACTTAGTGAGACTCTGTTTCAAAATTAGAAAATTTTAAAACAGCTTATGGATGTAGCTCAACATGAAGGCTGTGGGTTTGATTCCTAGTATGTACTAGAGGAGGAAAGGGAGAATTTAGCACCATTTCTGACCTTTACCCACTAGATGTCAACAATATCTTCCCACTCATGACAAGTGTCCTCTGAGGGGAAAAATGGTCCTGTATTTGGCTGTATGCTAAACATTAACATACATCGTCATATTTTTTTCCTCTTTCACAGTTTCTCGGGGAATATAAGAGTTTTAGTTGGGTGTGGTAACCTATAATCTCTTCTTCTGTGAAGGAGGCTGAAGTAGGGAAATTTCAAGTTCAAGCCCAGCCTAGGCTACATAGTTCAAGGCCAGCCTGAACTGTATAGTTAGACCCTGTCTCAAAAAAACAAAACAGTAAGGATTTCTCTATAAATTTCCACAAGAGCAGAATTTTTAGTAATGTTCCTCACTATAGGGGGCTGGGGAGATGGCTCAGTAGAAATGCTTGCCTGGCAAGCACAAGGGCCTGAGTTCAACCCCCGATTCTGCAAAAAATAAATAAATAAATAAATAAATAAATAAATAAATAAATAATGTTCCTCACTATGAACCTGACAAAGCTCTGGTTCTTACAAGCCACTTTCAGGAATTCCTAAGCTTCCTCAGTATCTTTTTTTCTTTTTGGTGGAACCAGGGATTGAACTGGGCCCTTGTGCTTGCCAGGCAAGTGCTTTTTCTACTGAGCCATCTCCCCAGCCCCTTAAGTATCTTGAACATAAGTCCAATTAAAGTTTCTGGGCCATAGTAGATATTCTCTAAATAACTGTTGAATGAATTAGGTGGATGGTTTGCTAATCTCACTCTACAGATGAAGAAACTGAAGCAAAGAATATAGGAGTAGTTATTCAAGTTCTCAAAGTTAAGCTGGACATAATGTCATAACCCCAGCACTTGGGAGACTAAGGCAGGACTGCTATAAGTTCAAGGCCAGCTTGAATTACATAGCAAGACCCTGTCTCAAAAAAAAAAAAAAACAAAAAAACAAAAATCTTGGTTATTAAATGATGATTTGGGACTCATTCAGATGTGTCTGTCTCTAAGCTGCTTAACTACTGTACTTAAATGTCAAGAGATTACTTTTCATACAAGTCAATCAGATAATCAGTGTGGCAGGATACTGATGAGACTGGGAAAGGTAACAAAGGAGTTAGACTACTGTGGGTTAGAATGATTATGGAACCACTGGACACATACTGTAATCCCAGCATTTGGAAGGCTGAGGCAAGAGGATCACTGCAAATGGTTACACAATGAGTTCAAAAAACCAAAGAGTAGCTGCACAGAGATATTAGAGGAATGGGATAGTGTCCACATAATTCCCTAAGGTTTGTGCTGTTTACATTTGTTCAGAGGTAACTGCTATGAGATTAATTTTTATTTCTTTGCTGGAATTCTGCCATAGGTTCCTTGTGAGAACAGTACAGAGAAGGTAAAAGTGTACCTGAGGGTCAGGCCCTTGTTACCTTCAGAACTGGACCGACATGAGGATCAGGTGAATGTTTGAGGAGGGAGGATTTAAGGAGAATAGAGTACAGAAGAGATTATTGCCTAGGAATGCTTTCTTCTACAATTACTATATTTTTCCTCTTCCAGGGTTGTGTCTGTATTGAGAATATGGAGACTCTTGTTCTACAAGCACCTAAAGACTCATTTGCCCAGAAGAGCAATGAACGGGGCATTGGCCAAGCCACCCATAAGTTCACTTTTTCTCAGGTATGGAGGAACTTGTCTGTGAACAAGGGACCAACATGTGGGGACAACTTTATTTCCAATATGTACCTACCTCTTGGAAGGTTCCATTTGGCAGAGAGAGCATCTTCATTTCCTCCTGCTCAATCTGTGACAGAGTGACTAGGGAGTCTGGTATTACCATCTCATACTTTGTCTTTTGGTCCCAGATCTCAATTGGATTCATGTTCGAGATATATATATATATATATTCCTTATATATTAGTCAATGTACAGTTATTTTGTATGCATTAATTCCCAATAATTCTATTGTTATTATCACTATCATTCCTATTTTCCTGTCAAGGATACTGAGATTCAGTGAACATTGTAGGAGCCATTGGGTCAGTCAGTGGTAGACAAGCCTGGGCTCTAGATCCATCCTTAAAGCCTGGGCTTGTGATCATTATACTGCCCCCTTGGGTATGTAGCATCAGGCTTAATACGTAGCACTTCTTACATATGTAATTTGGATGAAAGATGAACTAGCAAGAGAGTACAGCTGGAAGCAAGTCAGGAAGTAGCCATTTGCATGGCATCCAACACCCAGGGTATGTCTGCTGGCTTTGCACAGGAGACAGGTGTAAGGTAAAACTCAGAAACTGGTTCTGTTTCTAGATCTTTGGGCCAGAAGTGGGACAGGCATCCTTCTTCAATCTGACTGTGAAGGAGATGGTAAAAGATGTGCTTAAAGGACAGAACTGGCTCATCTATACATATGGAGTCACCAACTCAGGGAAAACCCATACAATTCAAGGTGAGTAGTAAGGCTTCATGGGATTGCTGATTGGCCTGTAATGATCCTTACCTTTTGACGCTCTTAGTTAAGGGAGAAATGTACTTTGGTTAGCTATCTATCTCTCATATCCCTCCAGGTACCACCAAGGATGGAGGAATCCTGCCCCGGTCCCTGGCTCTGATTTTTAACAGCCTCCGAGGCCAGCTTCACCCAACAGCTGATCTGAAGCCCTTGCTTTCCAATGAGGTGGTCTGGCTAGACAGCAAGCAGATTCGACAAGAGGAAATGAAGAAGCTATCTCTGCTAAATGGAACCTTCCAAGAGGTACATATTGGAATTCATGAAGACAGGGATAGAGAATACAAATCTAAGGGAGTTTGTGCTTATGTTCTCCCTGTGTCCCTCCAGGAGGAGCTGTCTACCTCCTTGAAGAGGAGTGTCTACATTGAAAATCGGATGGGGTCAAGCACCAGCTTTGACAGTGGCATTGCTGGGTTCTCTTCCACCACACAGTTTACCAGCAGTAGCCAGCTGGAGGGTATGTACAGGACTGGGCTCCATGCCAATTAACAGTTGAAACCTTCTCCTTACTCTAAACATCTCCTGGGGGGAAGAACCAGAAGTTGCAACCTGCAGGCCAGCAGCGAAGATGGCTTGCCCTAGGGTTGATGAAGGGTACTTTGGCTTTTTCCTCAGAAACGAGTCACCAATGGGCACAGCCAGACACTGCTCCAGTAAGTGTCCCATCAGACATGCGCTTCTCCATCTGGATCTCCTTCTTTGAGATATACAATGAACTACTCTATGACCTGTTAGAACCACCTAGCCAGCATCGGAAGAGACAGACCCTACGTCTGTGTGAGGATCAAAATGGCAATCCCTATGTGAAAGGTGTGTGAATGTGGAAGAGAAAGGGGAAATCCTCTAGAGTGACTAAGGAGTCTGGCATTACCATCTCATGCTTCATCTTTTCGTCCCAGATCTCAATTGGATTCATGTTCAAGATGCTGAGGAAGCTTGGAAACTGCTGAAAGTGGGTCGTAAGAACCAGAGCTTTGCCAGCACCCACCTGAACCAGAACTCTAGTCGTAGGTGAGTTGTGAGGATAAACCGATTATGATGCTTAAGAAACATTAGTCCTTAATCAAACATACATGTGTAAATAATACCACTGTTTTTTTGGTATGAAAAACCAAAAGTGTAATTAAGGACCATAATATATAATAGGTATTATGAAATAGGAGGGCTGGCCAGATAGCTCAGCAGATTAAAGCGCCTGCTTAGGTAGATGCAGGGACTGGGGTTTGATCCCCAGCATGCTGTGTCGGCCTCGCCCCTGGGGTGCACTGAGACATGACTGAGACTGGGTATGGTGGCGTGCCCCTGTAATCCTAGTGCTCAGGAGGCTGAGAACAGGAGGATCTACTATGAGTCTGATCTATGTAATGAGACCTTTTTTAAATACATTTAAAAAATAAAAGGAAGAACATGTTCAAATAGGAAGAGTAACAAGGGAAGGAGTAGAGGAAAAGGGAAAAAAAGAAAAGGAAAGAATGGAAACAAGATTTTTATAAATGGGGAACAAGAATCAAGTTATATGATGTACAGGAACAAATTCCCTATGATGAGTGTGACTATTATATATATCTAAAATGTACCAATAAAATCTGATTAAAAAACAAACACCAAAAAACAAAAACAAAAAAGAAACATTAGTCCTTCAGTTCATCTTGAATGCATGCAATCACTTTTCCTTTTTAACTTTTAGCCACAGCATCTTCTCAATTCGGATTCTGCACCTTCAGGGCGAAGGGGATATAGTCCCCAAGATTAGCGAGTAAGTTTTTGCATTTAGAAATCTGAAATCTGACCTTGGTCACTTAGTTCTGGGAGCAGAGGGGAGGCCCTCAGAGGAACTAGTTGCAGATGCTCTGCAGAACTCTTTAAGGTGGGCTAGATGAAGCTCCTATGAGGCTTTTATGTCAGATCCTGTGCATTCTTCTAGACTGTCACTCTGTGATCTGGCTGGCTCAGAGCGCTGCAAAGATCAAAAGAGTGGTGAACGGCTGAAGGAAGCAGGAAACATTAACACTTCTCTGCATACCCTGGGCCGATGTATTGCTGCCCTTCGCCAAAACCAGCAGAGCCGGTGAGCTTCTGACTGTAAGCTGTGGGCTGGGATGGCCTGGGGATCTGCAATTTGTTAAGTCTTCCTGGTTACCTCTTGAGATGGTGCCAGGATACCCAAGGGCTAAAGCTCTGCTCACAGCTTATCTCCAATTCTCTGCCAGAGCAAAGCAGAACTTGGTTCCCTTCCGAGACAGCAAGTTGACTCGAGTGTTCCAAGGCTTCTTCACAGGCCGAGGCCGCTCCTGCATGATTGTCAATGTGAATCCATGTGCCTCAACCTATGATGAAACTCTTCATGTGGCCAAGTTTTCTGCTATTGCCAGTCAGGTGAGAAGCTGTAGTTGAAATGGTTTTGCCTACTTTGGGCTGGTAAATTTGCTCCAGAAAGCTGTTACTTAACTCAAGGAGTCAAAAGGTTTTTTTCATCCTTTAGCTTGTACATGCCCCACCTGTGCAAGTGGGATTCTCATCGCTGCATTCATTCATCAGAGAACACAGTCTTCAGGCTTCCCCTGGTATACAGAAAGGGAGTAAGACAGATCCAGGCCTGGATGACCAGACTGAAAATGAAGTTGACATTTCCCTTTATACCAAGGAGGTAAAAATACAAGAAAGTTTTGGGCAGTAGCTAAAGTGGCTACACATTTCCTATGCTATGTTCCAAATAGTCTTGGCCTTTTGGGGGCATGGGCATATGCTAACCTGACACATATGTTCCTCCTAGGAGCTCCTACAGGTAGTGGAAGCCATGAAAACATTGCTTTTTAAAGAACGACAGGAAAAGGTGCAGCTGGAGATGCAGCTCCGGGATGAAATTTGCAATGAGATGGTGGAGCAGATGCAGCGACGAGAGCAGTGGTGCAGGTACTGGGTCGGAGTTGTATCTCAAGATTTGTCCCTGAAGTTTATACCTCATAATCTTCACTTCCTTCCTCTCTTTGTGAAAGCGAACATTTGGACACCCAAAAGGAACTATTGGAGGAAATGTATGAAGAAAAGCTAAAGATTCTCAAGGAGTCTCTGACAAGTTTTTACCAAGACGAGATTCAGGTGAGTTGCCTGGAACCAGCCCCAACCAGCTGTTCAGATTTCCATCAGTAGATTACTTGAGGTGAACAGATCTTATAAATGCTAGCAAGAGCAGTTTATAACTCACTTGTGTCTATCCCTTTTAGGTGTTCAGTATCTGTTTGGTGAATTAAGGGTTTAGTTGACTAGAAAACAGTGTAAGTGCTAACCAGCAGGGCTTTTAATTTTGTCAGCAAGGGTTTTGTTCATTTGTTTCAAATGTCTGTTCCTACATTATTTCTCTGACCCTGGACAGAATTGTTGTTCTCTGCTTCCCTCTTAGGAACAGGATGAAAAGATTGAAGAGCTAAAAGCTCTCTTGCAGGAAGCCAGACAGCAGTCTGTGCCCTATCAACAGTCAGGGTCTGAAACGTCTCTGCGGCGGTCACAAAGGTTGGCAACTTCTGCCTCCACTCAGCAGCTCCAGGACGTTAAAGATAAACTAGAACAATGCAAAGCAGAGCTATCCTCCACCACTGAAGGTGAGGACTGAGAAGGCAGGAAGCATGACAGTGGTCCAAGGAGGAGCTGATGGTCAGACATGGTGTACTGACTATCAGCCCAGTGTACTTCCCTCAACTCCTACCAACTACCTCTGACTATTCACTGTATAGTGTACATAGCCTTACATTTTGTATTTGCTATGAACTACTGTTAACTCAGTAGGTAAGACCAAAGCTAGAAAACTCATGTTTCCTTCCCTCAGAGCTACGGAAGTATCAGAAAATGTTAGAACCACCTCCTTCAGCCAAGCCATTCACCTCTGATGTGGACAAGAAGTTAGAAGAGGGCCAGAAGGTAACTGACTTTGTTAGGGAAGTTCTTGCCTAAAGCAGTTGTTATCCAAAGCTCTTTAGCACTGGAATGATTAGCTTTTCTAATTTTGCTATACTTTTCGAAAAGGTTCCCCAACCCTCCCAACCATTACCCTGCTTGATCTTGGCCAGATCTGATTCCTGTTCCTTTTTCAGAATGTAAGGCTGCTTCGGGCAGAACTTCAGAAACTCGGAGAGTCTCTTCAATCAGCAGAAAGGGCCTGTTGCCACAGCACTGGGGCAGGAAAACTTCGTCAGGCTTTGACTACTTGTGATGACATCTTAATCAAACAGGTGAGGGCATCCTACATAACCCCTCCTCTCCTACTAGACTCTATATAAAAGGCAAATGAGCAGAAGGTAAAGAGTTGAGGCTGGGCTGGTGAGATGGCTCAGTGGTCTAAAGCACCTACTTAGAACAAGCTTAGCAAAGCAGAGGGTCCGTGGTTCAATCCCCCAGCACCACATGCCAGCCAGCCCCGCCCCCTGGTGGACTGAGCTGGCCACACACACATAAATAAAAAAAAGTTGAGGCTGAACTTTTCTGGGAGGAGTTTCTTATAAAATAATTTAATTGTTAAGTACTTATTAAGTACTAGGTACCATTGCTAAGTAATTTGTAGGCACTTGCTCTGTTATAACAATTGAGAGGTAAGATACTATCATAGTTCATCTGACACTTAAAACATCTTTTAATTTTATTTGGTACAGGGTCTCATTATGTAGTTCATACTCATAGTAATCCTCCTGTCTCAGCTCCCCAGTACTGGGATTATAGGTGTGCACCACCAAACCTGGTTTTGGGGTAGCATGTGGTACTACAGGTCAGACAGGTCCTTGTGCTTGCCAGACAGGTATTTAGACCACTGAGCTATCTCCCTAGCCTAATGCTGACATTTTATGTACTATTAAGAAAGTACTAACAAGACATGGCATTCCCCCTTCTTTTAAGTTACTATGCAAAAGGGACTGAACCCTGAGCTACTCGCCATCCTTTTTTTTTGCAGAACTGGGGATTGAACTCAGGCCCTTGCACTTGCCAGGGAAGCGCTTATTCTACTGAGCCATCTCCCCAGCCCCTTTATTTTATATTTTGAGACAGGGTTGCACTGCCTGGGCTTAAACTTCTGACCCTATTGTCTTAGTCTCTCAAGAGTGCTGAGAGGACATGCATGAGCTACCATATCCAGCCTTTTCTTTTTTTTCCCTTTCCTTTTTGTGGTGCTGGGGATCAAAACTATGACTTCCTCCATGCTAAGCCTAAGCTAAGCCTTTTCTGATTAAGATGGATACTAGTTTCAGATGTATTAAAAGCAAAAAATGCATTTGGGGGAGGCTGAGGCAGGGTGAACACTTAGTGAGAAAACAAGTTCAAAGCAAGCCTAGAAAACTTGGCAAGAACCCTCAAGTAAAAAGCTTATTATTAGATTGCCCCTGGGTTTGATCCCTAGTTCTGTAATAAGATAAGAAGAATGAAAAATAGGGCTGGGGTGATAGCTCAGTAGAATAAGCACCTGCCTGGCAAGTGCAGGGTCCTGAGTTCAATCCCTGGTGCTGGAAAAAAAAAAAAAAAAAAAAAAAAGAATGAAAAATATATAAATCAGTAATCATAGCATTGATATGTAGGGACTAAGGTTCTTGGAAGCTAAATGAACTTACTAAACCCCATGCTAGGTTATATATTAGAAACTGTCCTATTTAGTACTGCTTATGTTTGGGTCTCAAAGGAAATATACCTTCTGTTAAGAGCGCTTTTCATAAGGAGCTAATCTCTGAAGAAGATGGGAGAGGCTGCAGAGATGGCTCAGTGGCATAAGTGCTTCCCTGGCAAGCACAAGGACCTGAGTTCAATCCCCGGTTCCGCCAAAAAAAAAGAAGATGATGGGACACATTAATTTTCCCTGTTTCTCTAAAAATGTGTTTTGTTTAACCTTACTGATGTATCCTAGGACCAGACCCTGGCTGAGCTGCAGAATAACATGATGTTAGTGAAACTGGACCTTCGGAAGAAAGCAGCATGCATCGCTGAACAGTATCATACAGTGTTGAAGCTCCAAAGCCAGTCTTCTGCCAAAAAACGCCTGGGTACCAACCAGGAAAACCAGCAACCAAACCAGCAACCCCCAGGGAAGAAACCATTCCTTCGAAACTTACTTCCTCGAACACCCACCTGTCAAAGTTCAACAGACTGCAGCCCTTATACCCGAATCTTGCGCTCACGGAGGTCTCCTTTACTCAAATCAGGACCTTTCAGCAAAAAATACTAATTGTGGCCAAGGAGTTCCAGCTGCTCAGCTTAATAACTAAATCCATTAAGCTTTACTATATACCTGAACTCTATCCAGTATGAAATACTTGCATACTAGTTATTATTTTTCCCCTTTTGTATTATAATCACCTGTATAATCTCATATTTTTTCATTCATATCTATGTACACAAGTTATATTAAATAAATATTGTTCACATTTATTTGAGTTCCAAATCTTAAAAAAATAGACAGACCATAACAAAGGGTAGAAAAATTGAAATACCATTTTGGCCCATGGGAACCCTTTACAGAAATAGCAGTGGAATTTAGAAGAGTGTCTGCCCAAGAAGGCTTAATAACAATGAATTCAAGTAGTATTAGATGACCTACATTTTTCTTAACATGAAGTGTCATAAAAATGTTCTGAGGCCAAGAGGTTAAATTCTAAGCTCAGAGGGACCCATACCTTGTACTGTAAAAATTATACAGTACAGCAGACTCAAAGCATTATCTGCTACTGAAGATGGATGTAAAGGCCTGAAACCCCTAAGAGCACCACAAGAATGATTCTTTTTACCTTGGCTAGACATTTAAGACTGAAAAAAACATTCTTTTGGAGACAAGTGGGAAAAACCACTTACGTCAACAGACCAGCATGGCTAGCCTCGATGGCAGGCATATTTCTGATCCTATCACTGTGGGAAGCTGAAGCAAGACGATTGCAAGTTTGCACCCAGCCTGGGCAATTTGCTAACTAAGGAAGAGATCCTGTCTCAAATTTGTAAATTTTAGTACTTGGGTCTTGCTATGAAATTCAGGCTGGTTTTAGCTCACTTTGTAGCCCAGGCTGGTCTCAAACTTGCAAGGATCCTCCTGCCCTAGCCTCCCAGGGTGTTGGGATTATAGGCATGTGCCACCACCCAATATGTCTCTGAATTTAAAAAAATTTTTAAAGGTGTGGAGATGCAGCTCAGTGTGAAGGCCCTTTTTTTTAATCCCTAGTACCAGACAAAAAAAGTTATTTTCAAATACACATGACGTGTATAATATGGCTCCTAGCTTTGCTTTGGCAGGAGTACTGCTAACGCTAAAACCATCTTTGCCCTCAGAAAAGGTCAACAGTTCATGCTGAATGGGTTTCTGATTTTCTTTTTTATTCAACCCAATACTTCCAATCTGAAAGCTTTTAGGAGACTTTTTCAAAACTTTTGAAGAATGTCTTATGGAATAAGAATAAATTAACTCCACTCCATTTAAAACTAATCTCTGACATCAGAATGGGGGTCATACTCAGCAAATTCAAGAAGTTAATTCTGGCTAGTGCCCTAACCCCTTTCGAGGGCTTCAGTGCCCCTCCTGCCAAGAGGGTAGAGTGGCAGGTCTCTCCCTTTCCTGCCCCATTCCCAGCAGCATTAAAACCTTGTGCCTGTAGCAGTCTGTGCTAAAGTGCTGAAAAAAGATGTTTCGGGGAGGGGGCAAGATCTATAGTCACACTCTCAACAAACGGGAGATAGAAGTGCTTCTAATTGCAAAACACAGTACAGTGTGTACTCCTGCCAGTATTCTTCTGTCTGCCTCTGAAGGTCATAACTTCCCCAAGGAGCTATTTCCATCTGTACAAATGAGAGGAGCTGTGGTCCTTGGGAGAACAGATGTGGCTGATCTTTATATGGAGGTATGACTTAACATGGATGTAGCAATGTGCTGTCTTGAAAGTAGCCCACTATGGAGTGACAGAAGACAAGTTGAGTGGAGACACTCTGCGTGTGGGAGTGTTGTTAGCAGACAGTGAGGCAGGAAGGAAAAAGGGAGCAGGCATCTCAGTTGTTGGAGTCTCGCCTTGGTTCCTTAGCTGCAGGATTTGCCGAAGCAAGGCCTTTCCTTCTTCTCGAGTCTGAAACAAGTCAGGCAGCTGTTTAAAAATACGTACAAGGCAATTCTCAAACACAGGTTAAGGTACTGATCATAGGTGAGTTTTACAGGTCAAAACATGCTTTCCACTGACATTCTTAACCACCTTCTACCTACCTACACATCATGGGAAACAGCATATATTATGGCCTAAAATCTGAACCCTTCATTAAAGTGCTACTTACATCATTGAATGCACAACACTTTTGGGCACAAGTTGAAGCTTCATCCCACAGCTTACACTTAAAATAGTACTGGGCCAGGTAGCGGAAAGCTGTGCTTTCCTCCAAGTGTTCCACTATTTCCTAAATAAAGAAAATAGGGATGACTGAGTAAGAGTAAGACCTCAAAAAATAATAATAATAAAAATAAAGATAAGGCCTCTATAAGAATAAGAGCAATAAGAACAAGACCAAGCCTCATACCCCACAGGAATAGATATCTTGGATATATTTGATGTAACACTGGGCAGCCTGTTCTGATTCAGTCAACTGCTCATGAAGCCTACAAAAGAAATTGGGCATTAAATAAAAATCAAATCTCAAAGCAAGTTAGTGATTAAAAAGTAAAAGCACATTAAGTCTAAAAGAATTGAAACTAGACAAGTGCAAATTTTGACATAAGTGATACAATGGGAATCAAAAGAATATTAGCAGCCACTAGATGTTATGGTTCCTGTCAGTGTTTAGAATAAGAAGCTGGGAACCAGGAAAATAACTCATCAGCATAATCACATACCTGGCAAGCACCAGATCCTGAGTCCAATCTCCGATACAAAAAAAAAAGATAAAGAATAAGGAGCTGGGTATTTAGTTCAGTGGCAGAGTGATGGTCTATCAGCCTGAACCACAGAGCAAGACCCTGTCTCGAATCAATCAACCAACCAATCAAAAAACAAACAAATTCAAAAAAGAAGTGGCATGAATAAAATTACATTCAAGAACTTCTTGCCAGGGGCTGGGGAGATAGCTCAGTAGAATAAGCGCATGCCTGGTAAGCGCAAGGGCTTGAGTTCAATCCTTGAGCTCAAAAAAAAAAAAAAAAAAAAATCTTCTTGCCTGCTATTTCTCAACTATTTCTATTTACTAATTTTTTGACCCTTATTGAAGGAGATCAGTACCAAAAGTTTTCACAAAACGCAAAAATTTATTCTCTTGCTAGGAGGTCCACACATGTAATCCTAACTACTCAGGAGACTGCAGAAACAAGTTCAAGGGCAGCTTGCCTCTGAACTGAGCAAAACCTATTTCAAAATAAAATATAAAGGGCTGGGGTTGTAACTCAATGTAGAGTAACATGGTACTGTATTTTTTTTCTTTCTTTCTTTTTTATGGCAATGCTGGAAATCAAACCCAGGGCCTTGCAATGCCAGAGTATTATACCAATGCGATATACTCCTCTCCCATTCATTTCTTTTTTCAACTCTTTTACCTAAAATGAAGGCTAGCACTTCTCTGAAGAGAGTTAAGAGGGCTAAATTCCCAGACCACCATTCATGCATCTTTCCATATCTCCACAACCATGCTTAAAAGTGGAAGGATGGGTGATTCTAGAGCATACAGGACCTAACAGCCTGAAGAAGCCAAGAGAAATATTAATAGCATTTCCTTCCTTTCACTCACTTTGCCAGCTTTACCAGAGCCATTTTCTCCACATCTCCCACGGCGTAAGCTCTCCAATAACACTGTTGGAAAAAAAAAAAAAAAAAAAAAAAAAAAATTGGTCATTTATTTTCACTAATAATATTGGTCATTTATTTTCATCATTTTATTTTGACCATGGTCTCATCAACCACAATTAACTGCATAAACAATAAAGCCCTGTAAGCCCTCTAGAAGTGCAGACCTACAGAATTCAAGGGGTTTTTCTTTGGCCAATTTTTTTTTTTTTTTTTTTTTTGTGGAACTGGGAATTGAACTCAGGCCCCTGTGCTTGCCAGGCAAGCGCTTATTCCACTGAGCCATCTCCCCAGCCCCTCTTTGGCCAATTTTGCTAGGACTAGACTACATACTGACATTCCCACCAATGATCTCAACCTACCTTTGTTTTTAGCCTGTGAACCCATATAACTATTCAGACTTTCCTATACATATACATACAGATCAGAACAGAGGAAAAGTTAGAACACATAGAGCCCAACTTTCATCAAAACAGATTTCCACAGAAATTCTCCAGACCTCAATTTCAGGTACCTTTTTGGCTTCTACTAGTTGATTGAGTTTCTCATAACATTCTCCTAATGCAACCAGCATACGAGAATCATTGGGCCTGAGAAAGAAGAATAGGTAGTCAGAGAAAAAGACTTTATCTAAAGTTTTGTTGTTTATTCTTTTGTCTTTTTGAGACAGGGTTTCATTATGTAGTTCAGGCTGGCCTTGAACTCACTATGTAGCCCAGGGTAGTCTTGAACTTGCAACTATCTTCCTGCCTCAGTCTTGATCTCTGTACAGGCATCCACTACCACACTCAGCTCATTTATCCGAAGTCTTCCATGGATGAACTAGCTCCACCACTTTCAATGCCACTTCAAATCTATGCAAAGACAGATCTTAAATCTAATCCTTCAGGGGCTGGTGAGATGGCTCAGTGGTCTAAAGCACCTACTTAGAACAAGCTCAGCAAAGCACAGGGACCACGGTTCAATCCCCCAGCACCACATGCCAGCCCACCCTGCCCCCTGGTGGGCTGAGCTGGCCACACACACACACACACACACACACACACACAAATAAATAAATAAATAAATTTAAAAAAAAATCTAATCCTTCAGATTACTTTGTGCTCTTAATTACAGTATTAACCCCTACAGTAAGACACTAAATAAAAGTGATTAGCTACCACTTAGCAAATTTCAGCTCACATATCTAGGAGTCAAAACTGACTCATGGCAATTTACAGTAACTACCAGAAGAGAAAGAAGCCATGAGGTTCCAGATTTCATACCCAGAACCAAAAACTAATAAAAGAAAAACATGGTATCACCCTCTCCCACACCAAGCCTATTACCAAGTGACATACTAACCGGAGCTGGTGGGCCCGTCTGTAATAATAAAGGCAGTAAAATGGCATCTTAAGGATTTCATAGGTTTGCCCAAGGCCATACCAAGCTCTGTAGTCCCGCTTGTTGACCTCTATAGCATGTCTAGGAAATGGAAAAGACAGACTGGTGAGAGGGCAGAAACAATGTTAGCCTCTTGCAGGCTCATCAGAGGCTCCTGACATCACAGCAATGTGCCCCACCTCACCAGCCAGCTGCATGCTCACCGATAAGCCTGGATGGCAGCAGAGGTGTTCTTCATTTCCATGTACTCATGCCCCATGAGCGTCCAGGCCCCAAGATACCGAGGATTCAACTTCAGGGCTCTCTGGAAATACAAGGCTGCTTTCTCGTGCTGAGAACGTAAACTATAATAATTACCTAATAAAAAAATAGAACACCAACAACAAAAATGAACTAAAAAGATAAAAAACATCCGCTAAATTAGACAGCATTCTACCAAGTAGGTGTGAAATCATAACTAATCCTCTCTAAATTTCTGGCATCAAAGTCAAACTAGATGTACTCAAATGCTAATATTATCATTCCCTTGGGAAAAATATTTTTAACTCTTATCATGCATTCCGGCTTTTAATAAAGATTTTTCTTCATTTAATCTCATCTGTGTACAACATTTATATATATTATCTTGAAATAGGGAAGGAAAGTTCTACAGTATGCTTCAGATTGGTAGTGCTCAAATCACATTCTTTCAAGGTTTCCAAGCAGGCATACCAAAGAATAAAAAAAAAAGAAAGAAAAAGAGTTCTGGGCTTTCCCCCTTAAGAATGAAATATTTTAAGATGCTATCAAAGACTTATAGTCTAAAAGCCATCTGTCTTGTTTTTGTTTTTGTTTTTTGCTGAACCGGGGATTGAACTCAGGCCCTTGCACTTGCCAGGAAAGTGCTTATTCCACTGAGCCATCTTCCCGGCCCCATGTCTTGTTTTTTGAGACAGTAACTCCCTACATAGTGTGGACGGTCCTTGAATTCACTATGTAGCCTGAGCTGTCCCCAAACAAATACAGTGATCTGCCTACCCCAGTCTCCCAAATGGTGGGATTACAGGTATGTGCCCTGCTGGTATGTATGGATATATTTGATACAGGATCTTGCTATACAGCTCAGACTCTTGGACTCATAATGATCCTCCTGTCTCAGTCTCCCAGATCTGGGATTACATTTGTGTACCATCACCCCCACCCCCACATGGAATTCAGTACTGGGGACCAAACTCAGGTCCTTACATTTGCCAGGCAGGCTATTTCCCCAGCCTGTGTTTTGTTTTTTGATACAGTGCCTCACTGCGAAGTTTAGGCTGGCTTGAACTCATTATGTAGTCCAGGCTGGACTTGAACTTGCAGTGAGTCTTATACCTTTACCTCCTGAGCACTGAGATTATAGACATGCATCACCACACAGTGCTAAGAGTTATCTGTCTTACGGGGCCCCCAAAGGTGGGGCTGGTGGGGTGCATGCTGGACTGGGGATAGAAGCCTGGTCCCTGTGCTTGCCAAAGCAAATGCTTAGTCCCCTGCGCTATCTTGCCAACCCTTGTGTGTTGTCTTTCTTTTAAGACAAAAGATGTTCATGTATGAGTTGGTTTTTTTCTATACTAAATCTTTGGCATTCAAGTGTAATTGCTGACAGCAATATGAGATAAATAAGTGGATTTTAGTTTGCAAGTTAGTCTTCGGATTATGTATTAGTCTTCTGCTTATTCAATAAATGGTGAAATTCTAAAGGAAAAAAAAAGAGCTATCTGTCTTAAATGAAGTACACAAAAGTAGTACAGCCACCCAGCAGCACTTGTTGAATTCTTCTACCAAGATCTATTCTCAATAAAGACAATTTTGTCTGAAGACAACACAGAAGGAAAACTCTGTGTGTAAATAAATGGTAATCTTTCGTTCTCTATTCAAAGTGGAAAGAATAAAATGTGAAACTAAATTGAAAAAAAAAAAAAAAAAGATAGTATATCCAAACAACAGAATACTACTCAGGGATAAAAAGAACTACTGAGAAATGCAAGAACAGGGATGAGCTTCAGAAACAGACTAGCTGAGCTGGGTGTGATGACTATGCTCCTAGCATTTAAGAGGCCGACAAGGAAAGTGGCTACAAGTTTGAAGTCAGCCTAGGCTACATAGTAAATTCAAGGCCAATCTGAACTACATGGTGATCCTGTCTCAAACAACAACTAAATATGGCAAACTTGGACTTATACAAAATTCCCAGAACAGGCAAAAGTATAAAGCTAGGGTGCCTCCATTAGCTCAGTCCTTTAATTTTTTTATTTTGAACATTTTGTTTATTTATTTATTGTGTGTATGTGTGTGTGTGTGGCCAGCTCAGCCCACCAGGGGGCGGGGCTGGCTGGCATGTGGTGCTGGGGGATCGAACCGCGGTCCCTGTGCTTTGCCAAGCTTGTTCCAAGTAGGTGCTTTAGACCACTGAGCCATCTCTCCAGCCCCTAGCTCAGTCCTTTAATTGCCTGCTTAAAAAAGGAGTTAGGCTCAGGATGCTGTGGTTCGATTCCCAGATACTCAGGCCAAACCAGACCTTCCCTGAAGGCATTCTGAGGCTGCCAAAAAAAAAAAAAAAAATCATTCTGGGCTGGAGAGATAGCGCAGTAGAATAAGCGCTTGCCTGGCAAGCATAAGGTCCTGAGTTCAATCCTCGGCACCGCAAAAAAAAAAAAAGAAACTTGTTTTTCCTAATGTTTACTACATAGATTATCCTGTAATATATTTATATACTTTCTCATGGACCTAGAGTTATCGGCATCATCTGCGTTGACGGAGTTAACTGCATCGCATGTTTGTAATGCGGCTTCTCACTTTGTACATAAAAATGTGCAGGAAAAAAAAAAAAAAGAATACAAAGGAAGGTAAGAAGGTATTTTAATCCAAATAAATGTAATTTCATGAGCGTTCAAAAAACAAAAGTATAAAGCTAAAAGCCAGAGCAGTGATTACCAGGTGGGAAACAGTACAAGCAGACCTGAGGAACTTTTGGAGGTGATGGAATATTATGAATAGGATTATGATAACAGTTAAAAAACTGTAAATTTGCCAGGCATGGTGGCATACACCTGTAATACTCGAAAGTTGAGGCAGAAAGATCGAGAGTTCGAAAAAGCCTACAATACATATTGAGACCCTATCTCCCAAAAAACCCTAAAAATTCTAAATTTACAAAATTCACTGAACTGTAAACTTTAAACCAGTGAATTTTATGGTATGTATATTTTACTTCAATAAGGGTAGGGTTTTTTGGTACTATGAATCAAACTCAGGATCTCACATTGCCAGGCACGCACTGTGCCACTGAGCTATATCCCTGGGTCTAAAGTTATTTTAAATAGACTGGAGCTGTACAACAGATTTACACAAACTCTAGTTGAGTGAGAACACTAAAATGCAGGGTTAAGTATATAACCCAATTCTATAATTGTAAAGTTCATTATACCTTGCATGTTATATGTGTGTGTTCTTATATGGTATGAAAACATGTTAACACAAGTAATATAAAGAGGAAAGGGTGAAGCCAATAGCACAGGCCTGTGATCTAACTTCAGAGGCTAATGCAGTAGGATTACAAATTCAAGCCAACCTGGGTAATTTAGCGAGACCCAACTCAAAATCTAAAAATTAAA